CTTAAGGGCATTCTCGTTGATGCCATGAGTCTGCCCATTAACTTGCACAAAACTACCTTCCTCCCTATGCACTTACCGCCCTCCCTTTTCACCAAAATATCCTCCCCATACGATTGTCCAATGCGCTCTTTCCCCAAATCTACCTTAGTTTCCCTCTATTCCCCACTAATCTCCCCTCCCCGCCTTCCAAACGATTGTCCAAAGCTATCTAAAGTACCTTTTCTGTTGAGTGGCCCGCTTTCTCTTTAGGGGTGTCATGCTAACCTCTATTTCTTCCTCCCTCGACGCTCACACACTATGTACTTCATGCCTGTTATCCGCCAGCCTAATTTGTTTTTCAAAAATAGCTAGACACGACTAAGAGGGCTTTATTCTTGCTGGCTAAGGATTATTGCATGGGGCGCAATGTCTTATTGCTTGGAAAAATGTTTGCAAACTTTAAAAAATGGTGTTCTAGGCATTAAAAAGTTACTCAAAAAATTGCTTCCTAATGAAATTCGAGTCCAAATTATTGTAGTTTCCAAATATTCCTTGGGTGTGGTGGTACCACTCTCATTACTCCCTTGCTATTTCCAACAAAAATTCTAACCAGTAGTTTCTGCGGAAAATTGTTAATCCTTAGCTTCCAGCTCTACATTCTCTCTCTTTTATCCTTACAAGAATGGAAGGCCCACCTTCTTTTGGAATGACACTTGGATTCACTCCAAACCTTTGGCTCAAGCCTTCCCCAACCTCTACTCCCACTCTACCCACACCACAATTCTTGTCTCCCAAATTTTGTTGGATGATTTGTTGTCTAACTACCAAATCGCTTTACCACAATTGCCTTTTGTTGTTTTTGTTGCAAGACTTTGCTCACTCTGACGCCAACGAGAACAGGTGCCTCAGCGGGTGCATAAAGTTCACCTCCAAGAGCGCATATGAGCTCCTCTCTCGGTTGGCTATGCCTGAAGAATTGTCTAAACTCCAAGGCCAACATCTTCAACAAAAACTTCTCCGACTGAAGCGACATCCCAGATGCCAAGTACCTTGGGATGACTACCCACATCTTCCCGTCCTTCCCGCATGTTGCTC